TAATTTTTTTACGACGATTAGAAATTTTTTTTTCACCGAAAAATTTCTGCTCCTGGTCTGCCGTCCGATAACACTGGATTAACTCTTTCAATCCTTCCTCTAGTCAACTTACATGTATTTTCGCATACGCTACAGCTGTCTGCTCCTGTAGGAGCTGTAAACTCCTATAAGATGTAAGATCTACTCGTATACCGCGTAAAATTTGGAAAAGTTAAATAACGTAACGATTTCACTGTATCGAATCATCTTTTCGTTATTTTTATGATATCGAATTCTGTTCTGAACTATGGAAAAAATGACAGATCGATTTATTCATCTCTGACCGCCTAAGAAACTATCGGGAAACTTCAATTCCCGGGTTCGTGCATCCGCGCGCGACTTTGAGGGCGGCGCACAACGGCTGTCGTTACTTTTCTGCTCGAAGCTGGCCGCGGGATCGATCGCTCACGGCGACACGAGTCGGGCAAAGTACGCGGAACCACATTTAATAATGCGGTGGCGTGTATGAACTTCTGCTGATGGCTGTTTGGAAGGGTTGTCGGAAGGACTCTCGACGTCCTTGTTGCTGGGGATGGCACTCAGACGAGACTCCTTTGGAGTCTCCCTTTTGTGTCGCTACGGTGTGCTTGTTGCGCGCTTAAACAGGTAACTTCATAATGTTACCTCGCGGGAACCGGCGAGTTTCTGTTAACGAGACGCTACGGTACTAATTGCGAACACCGTTTCTTTGATGGTCCCGCTGTCTATACGATTGGCAGAGCCTGGGAGTTAGTTGCCCGACCAACTTAATTACCGTTATTGCACGGATCTCCGAGAGCCTTTAAATCTTGGCGATTTAAGCGTCGCGCGAATTAGCTACGCCGTTCGAAGCTGTTTACGAACCATAAAGTACGCTTCATAACGAGTAAAACATGGACTGGCGAATACTAGAATTATTTTAAATACGGTATGTGTCATAAAAGTCTGAAACGAGGGCGTACGGGTCCTCTATTAGAAATAAAAGTTGTCGCACAGCCCACACCGACAGTCCCGAAGCGTTCGTACCGCCATTGCCAGTCGCGTCATCGAATCCTACCTCCTGTTTTATGACCGACCCAGTTAGAAACGTTCCATCCTGAGCCTTGCTAGACAACGCGTTGAATGTAGATGCGGTGGAAGCTTTTACCCGCGGTGTCTTATCGCTTTCGAGATAAATATCGCGTCTCTGTTTTAGTAGCATGAAACGGTTACGTTGGACGTAAGTGATATAGAGAACTCCAGACAGTTTCAAGAGCTATGTCGGGTATGTGACATCAAAAGTATTTTTAAAGAATTCATTCTCAAAATTAGATGGTAAAGAAAATAAATCTCGAGAGGACTCTTGAATAAATTCAATGACAAATTGTGGATATTCTTGCACTCTCTGCTTCCAGAAAAGTTGGTTATTTTTTATTATAGGGTATCCTGAATAAATCCATTTTCTGTTTACCGTTGTCGCGTACAGGGTTACAAATAAACAGCTTGTTTCGGGTGAACCATTCGATGACAGGATGTCCAACAGGGGTAGGATGTCTCTAATGTCCTAAGATCATCGAGGGTAACAAACACGCGTAGCCCTTCGGCACCCCACTAAACACGTGTAATGCTTCACGAGCATCTTCCCGGTTCCTGGCTGAATCAATTCGCGGCTGGGTAATCCTACTTGTCACCAATGGCAACGTAGATCGTGTCCTTAGTTGCCAGGCAACTATTTAGCTCCGTGATCTGCCGGAACACATCTCGTCGGTCAGAATATAGACAGACGTATCTTATCAGACCTACTTACGAACATCGACAAAACCACGGCTCGCTTGTTATCAATTCTGTTATTCTGTCGTCGGTTCGAGGCAACGAAGACGCTGAATAAAACGACACGTTCCACCCAACAGCAAGTAAAATGCAAATATAAATGTGAAAATAATGTATACGAATAGTTTATGTTACAATAAACTATGACGTTTACTGGTTAAGATCGACTCGAAATTCCAGCCTGAGAAACCAAGCATATTTAAACAATTTTTTTTACCGATATTTAAAGGCACTTCATTTGTTTATATCGATCACGTTTAAAAATAAGTTTCTGTGAATATTTTGGATATTTACATTTGAAATTTTGCACTCTGTCGATGATGGAAACGAGTAATATTTATGACACTTAATACGTGAAAATATGACAGAAATTAAATCGTCAAATACGTGAAAAATATTGAAAAACACGGCGTCGAACGATTTTAAGATACATTCCCAAAGTTTTCGGATCGCTAGACCTTTTGCAGCGTCGAAACGAAGAGAAAGCGGACAAATTAAAGTCCCCCCGTCGCGTCCGTTGTCCCCGATTCTCGCCGTTTTTCGGATATATAGAAATGTCGCATTATTCACGGAGCAGAAGGGTCGTGACTATTTTTCGAACACGACTGGGGCAGCGAACGCATCCGTGGTAGTTTCGCATTTTGGACAGTTGCCGAGGCAGCCGTAGTTCCAGTAGCAGGTAGTCACGCTCGCGCGCAGACTCGCAGAATGGCGTGTTCTGGTTTCCTGTTCCGGCTTACATTTACGTCTGGATGTTTCATTGTCGAAACGCGAACGTGCACGCCGCGATACATGAAAGATATGAAAGCGGTTTGACCTGGATCCGCGAAACGTAGAAGGGGTGCTGGGGACAGTGAATGTCCGATGTAAAATGTGTGTCTATAGTCGAAGAGGATATAGAGGCAGCGTACCTTTTCTTCGGGTTGTCGCTGACCTTTTAAACTTTGATAAATAGTCAAGAACCGTCGAGCCTTTCACGTTCAAGTTTCGTCAAGATCCGTGATTTAAACAGAACCGGAATTATTCGAACAGTTCACTAATTTTTAATATTTGAGAAAATTTCAATATCGCTGTTCGATCATTACTATACAAAAAGCGGATGAGAATTGTTTTATTGAACTTTGTATATTGCGTTTCCCTAGTCATCGTTAGTCGCTAATATTTTGCGAAGTCTATGAATTAAAATGAAAAATTCCAATTAGTAATTTGTCGATCGGTACTCAATAGTCTTTATTATCTCTATAAGGAAGGAAAAATTCAAGTAAAACACTCGATATATTTCATTCCATCGCATACTTTACCATTTATAAAATTTCATTTCTGCTTTTTTAAACGCCGTAAATAGTTTTCATTTTTAACTAAATATCCCGTATTTTTCTTCTCCCTCGTTATTCAGAACTGATGAGTATTGAAATAACACAAAATTGAAACGTTTAAAATATATTACATATGAAAACCTATGCTTGCTTTCGTACTTTGTTATTTTTCATTCCAATATTATCCTTGCAATATTGCAACTCGGATCGATTATAAAATATCCATCCGAATCGTAAACCGTACGGGTTTACAAAATATTATTTCTACCCGAGGGAACAACAGAACGATTTAGCAGCCATTCGTCCTCGAATCTAGATTAAATCGAGATCACGACGCACTTCTCGACCAATTTACATTTCTACCAACCCGAACAATTCGACCCTGCCTCGCCCTCGCGCCACCAGCCCTTTCCAACAACCACCCCTCTCGACGTGTCACGCAAGAAAACGCCCCGGCATTCCTGTCGCCTTTGCCGTTCAATTTCCGGCTCGGGAGAGGCTACAAGAAAAACGGGGGTTCGTCGAAGGGTGGCGGAGGGTTGGAACGACCGACGGTCGGGAGTTCAAGAAGCGGGGAAAAGTAAAATTTCCTATTTCATGGAGAAAATGCAATGATGTACTATTATTGAAACCGTTCCACGCCGCACGCAGCCCTACGAACGCGCGTGCAAGAGCATCGAGGGGGTGGTAAAGGGTGCGGAGACGAACGCGCACCGCAGGAGGGTAACATATTGCGCGTATATGCCACGATGTTCGACGATTTTGCGCCCCAGAAATGAAACGTCCCGTGCCTGCCTGTCGTTGTCTTACTCGTTGGTAACTTCGAATCTCTCGCGACTGGAACCATCCCCCTTTTTGAGACGATTCGTCGAATATTGCGTCGCCCATGCTGACGTGTCGACTCTACTTCGAGAAATCCTCTCCAAAGAATTACGTCAACCTGACTGAGGCAAAAAAGCTCCTAGTCTTGTTTTAAAAATTATATAAAAAGTTATTTAATTTCATTCTGGATACTCGATAATTACTCGATCTTTTAATCCCGAGTGTCGGTTGGAAAATAGCTTTCCAGTGTAAAGCGTTATCTGATAATTATTATGTCTGCGCGTCAGAATTGAGAACCAATTTGGTAAATTAAGTTTCACGGAGTGTTTCTAATAAAATTCATTCGAGCAATAAAGTAGCTATGGCGAAGTTGCGAGTAACGCGGGATACGTTCGAAGTTCTGTCAGAAAATTTACAGCCGCGTCTGAAAATTAGCAGGAAACTTCTCGCGACCCTGGATCCTTAAATCACTCAGTTTTGAGATACAGCCACTCTCGAGGAATACAGGATGAATTTAGTAACTGTGCCAACGTATAGCTCTGCTCTAAGCGGGGATAGAACAAAATCGTAGAGGAATATTTTATATGGATCAATATCTTCTATCATACCGCGATACGACCTTACTCTCCGGTGCATCGTTCTACTTACAAATTGCAATTGCACGTCTCGTTTAAACGAAGTTATCTTACATCTTTTGCATAAATCGATTTCATAGATCATTCAGCGAATGGAAGGTACGAGCTACGGTCATCGACAACTGGAAATAAGAAACTAATCCTTTCTGTTGTTTCTTACACTTCACACACGATTCATGAACTGCAAAAATGGACACATGATTGATTGACAAGTGTTGTGGTTCTGCTGACAAATAGTTTCATTGGGAAAACCATAGTCGTGTCATAGAATAATAGAAGTTATCGATTTGTACAATAATCTACGATTCTCTTGTAAACGTCAGTGTACCAAATTTTCGTAGATCTTTGATCGATCGACGAACAATAATGGACAATCTGTTTTCGTGGTATAATTACTTACCCATGGCGGGTGCGTAGATGTTCAAGTAGAGGCAATCCTCGCTCTGATTCCGCAGATGTGGCAGCAGTCTCTTCAAGTACTTCAGTCGGCCTTTCGGCATACGCTCCAATGCTTCTTGCTCATTCGAAATGTCGGGCAGCTTTTGGGGGCAGACTGGACCGACCGAGTCCGATAATCTGCAAAGAGGGATTCGTTCGAGCCCACTCATGCGTGACGGTACGGATAAATCGAACGCTCGAATCGCTCGATTCTTGGAAGACCGCAGCTTTTCGAACGAACGATTGCTGTTAATTCCATCTACATCTTCCATTCACCGAGAAACCGACGAGCAAGAGTAACCACGGATACGAGACGCCCATTGGCCCGAATCAAGCGGATCAGAAAGATACCGAACAGTCAAAGAATTTGGAAAAATAAAATATAAACCTGGAAACACCAGTTTCATCTTTTGATCATTGGAAAATAGTATGGAATGCTTTCAACAATTCTAAATTCGAATTTTCAATATAGATTTTCGTACAAATTAATTAAAAAAGTCGTACTTGGAAGAGTATATCTCTCTTTGCGGGTTCTATTCAAACAATCGTGCTCGTAAGCCAAAAATAATTTGGTTCACGGTAGCATAAAGTAATTTCGAGGGTGTACTATTGTATTCCTTTTCGCGAGTAATTTGTTGCAGCCTATTTTCAACGCACTGTGTATCTCTGGTCTGTGTAATGTATGCAGATTAAGGTCATGAATAACTACTCGGCTGTTTCCGTATCGTTACGAAGTGGGCGAGAAGGTAGCTCATGGAAACGAAGAATCGTCGCCTCGCTGCGCCGAAATGTTCGAAATTGTTCTGTGAACTCGTCTTTTCGTAGCTAGCTGATCAAGGGAGAGATCGGAGGACGATTCTCCGAACGCTACACGTTTAGTTTGTTACCCGTGTAAATTAACAATACTTGGACGCGTTTTCATTTTGTCCGCCCGCGGTCGAGGGTGCAAAGATATAGAAAATTGTTTCGTCGGCATTTCTCCGAGTTCCGCAAACGACTTTAAGTGCATTTTTATTCCGAGGAGCCGCGCAGAATGACAGGGTAGTGAGTGAGTATGAAAGGGCGTACGGACTGAATACTTGAGCGAATTTCAAAGGAACAGCTTGACATAACTTTGCAGGAAATATGCCTCTAGAATACGTTTAAGAATCCGCGTATTAAGGGAAATCCAGCGAGCAGAATACATTTCTCTGAAATCAAACCCTTGTAAATTTTCGGCCGTCTCGGACGACGTCGCGAAACACGGCGATTCGTTTCGTTCGACGAACGACGGGGCATCGATTATGCGAACCTCCGTCCATAGTAATTCTCGTCGAAACATTTTACGAACGCTGCCAGACGGCACGGTCGAAAATATTCTGCAACATCGTTATCTCGTCGACTGATCGAATTTTAGGAATACGCATTCAAACAATTAAACTTTCCGAAACACGTGGAAAACAGTTCTCGATTTCTTCTGCTCGGTACCGTGGTTATATTTTATAAAAATAAGGAATAAAAGATACAAAAAAAAGAAATCGATTTTTTTCAAAGGTTCACAGTAGAATACCCCTAGCATTAATATATGTAATGAGAATCGAATGCAACTTGGAGGGCAAAAATGTTTGTTATCGACGAGTTGGAAGAGATAGAAGGTTGACACTGGAGAGACTTGGACTTACCTGACTCCTTCCCAGGGACTGGGCGCCCTGGTCGGCGAGAATCTGTTACCACCGACCGGGGGGGTGGCGTACGGTATCCCCAGGTAGATGTCGATTGGCTTGTGGAACTTGCCGTACTCGAAGGACCGTATCAGCCCCTGCACTTCGCCGTACCGGGTCTGAACGATCCGCGGATTGAGCTTGCTCTTGATCGAGAGCGAGAGGGTGGGCGGTGCAATCAGACAGACGAGAATCAGGAAGAGTTCCATCTTGCTCTCCGACCCTCCCCCCGCGCGCTACCGCCACGATTACCCTGTGAATACGCGCGCGCGCACACACGCTCGCCGACTCGCGCCGCTCCTTGCAATCGGTATCGATCACCTGTCCCCGCGGCGATCGCTCTTCATTTAGGCCTGCTCGAGCGCTAACTGCGCGCCACCCCGACGTAAGCTTGCGGTTTTCCCTGAAATTTCAGTTGCAACCGTTTCAGAGAGCCGAGCAATGGCCGCTGGACGGGCAAAACTAATTCCCGCGGCGGACACGCGACGAGTTCCGGCACCGGGGGCAGTTTACTCTACTTTCATCTTCGAATAATCGTGTTTGCGGCTCGCGCCGCGGAAATCGGATCACGCGGGAATATTCGACGCGAAAAAATGCATCGAAAGGGTGGAATAATATTTTTGTCTATCGTGCACCGTTTTCGAGGAAATTGAGTTTAATATGAATGTAAAAAAAAAAAATCGGGTCGCCTGCACCCGTCCGTCGTTAGAATCGATTTACTACGGAACGGAGGCTACGTACGAACAATTCTCTTTCTGGATTTTCTAGTCAGTTTTTCCTCCTGAATAACCTCCTTCCCAGATTTTCGCCACGACGTGATCGTTACTTTGTTTTTGTTAGTTAATCCTCCGTTGCGTATCGTGATTCAAAAATTATTCACTTTAAACGTTAATTAATTCATGCAAATGTACGAATCTTGAGGAACCCTTTTTTAATTTTTTCAGTCAAACGTCAAAGCGATTATACTTCGATTCATCGTTAAATATTACTTTTGACCATTGCTGGGGTACACAATTTAAAAGCGTAACAATTTTTTTTTTAACTTTTAAGTGTTTCGAAGTATACGGCCGCCCACAGTAAATAATCCAAAAATGATTTCGTCTTTAAGTGGTAGAATAAAAATTCGTGCAACGGAGGATGAACAGCATGCTAGTGTTCCCGAGACTGGTAATTCTGAAATTCGTTGCTAAAACAACCTGTGCAGTAACCTCTCAGAGCTGTTTACGAGGACGTAAAACACGGAATGAGAGATTTCTTACGAAAATTCTAACCTTTTTCCTAGTTCCAGCCCATCGACGATACGCTAAACAGAATAATAATTCCACGGTCGAGGCCCCCCCCCATCCACCTCGAGTTCCCTCGTTTTAAATTCTCATCTCGTGCCGGAAATATTCATCCCTGGATCCTTGATACGAGATAAAATGAAACGACTGTCAGTGATACGCGAGAAAATGTGAAGTTTACCGGTTTGATAAGAGCAGGGAAGTGTACCGTTTGTAAAGATCGTGCTCGCGTAACCTTATACGTCGAATATTTCGTAGATGTAATTGAATCTCGCGAGGGGGAGACTCGAGATGAAATAAGAAACTTGACAAGCTTTGATGTAAATATAGACACAATAAAGTCTAAGTGTGCCTCGTACGTTCCTAATTATAAATTCTTACCTCGAACAGAGTCGAAATTACGTCTATGACGTCAGCTTCGACTCAATTAATAATGCTCGATCGAAGCTTTACTATAGAGCAACGGTGCACCATCGTTTTCATAACTGGGTTAAATAATTATTTTGCCTATAACGTAATTTCGCGAGTCGAACGTCAACGATTTGTCACCACTGCCCTAAACTTTTAAAAACGAGTCGCTCGTGACAAATATCCCCAATCGTTCTCCTATTTTTAAAGCGAAGAAGAAACATTCCAATCGTTAGGGACATTAGACGCCTACTTCTTGTTCGTAAAACTCCAATCTTTGACGGAAACTGGGATCCCTCGACCGCGACGAATGTTTATAAAACATCCCGACAGTTGCTTCGAATCAATTTGATGTCGATCAATTCCGGAGCCCGAGGGCCGATAAGACAGTGTTCCAAAGCGGGCGAAGAGTAAGCGAACGTATTCGTACGTGGAACGATTATGGAAATCAGCACTTATCAGGCCCGACGGGAGACTCGAGTTCACTATCGCCTAACTGGTTCACGTACTCTTCGTCATCCACGTACTGGGGACCAGGAAGAAGCAGATAAGCTATTTTCGGGGCTTGGCTTTTCTCGGTGATCCCGGTCCCGCTTATCAGCGACGTTCGAATCTTTCTTCCCAAATCTATCCTGAAGATTTTCGACCAGGACGAAGGATATCCCGAAGTTCTTCGAAACGATTCGAGGGATTTGCGAAATGACGTCAGTTCGATCATCGTTCCCGGGCAGTCGAGCGAGACTCCCAATAGCACGAGTCCGATACTTTCATCGACGTCAACAAATACATCCTGTTCACTATCTAAACTAAAATTGTAACGCCATAAAAATGATTTCTATTCCCGTTTTTAATATTCGTGCACTAAAATTTAATTCCATAAAAATTACTTTACATATTTGTCTAACTTCGAATGCTCCCTTTGATCAACTAGTCAACCTAAATCGTAAAATCAGTTGCAATTAGTCCCGGGAAGGAGGTTTTAACTCGACGAGAAAATATTGTGAAACTCAGGCTATGTCAACGGATACGCGATCGCAAGATCTTACCATTAGACTCGATCATTGGCATTAAATAACTTTGTTCTCGCCATTCTGGATAACCAGGATCAACAGCAGACGAGGAGTCACGTCTATGAATCTTGAGGCATGCTTCGGAACTGATTGAAACGCGAGGAGACGTGATTTTCGACGGTTCGTTTGTGCCTAATTCCTCGATCTCGCCCCCATTATCCCTCCTACGCTTGCAACAGCGCTCGAAACGGAACAGAGTCGGGAAAACGGTCTCGCGTCGCGTTACACGACGATGTTATTCATACGATCAGTTTAATCACTATTCAAGGATCACGGTTTCAACTTCTGCACTCGTTCCCCCGTCCGTCTGTATTCGGATTATAGGCGCTTCGTCAATGTTACACGCACAGTAAGTCCTGCAACAGAAAAGATAAATCGCTATTAGACTGAGAATGACTAAATAGACTAAAATTAAAAACATGAATTTTAAGCTGATATCTGTATTGTTTTTATTTTTAATATTCATGTAGAATGCAACATTGTGTTATTCTTTTCAGTGGAACAAGCATGACACAACAGTAGGCATGACAACAGTGATGGTGACGCAGTAGTGTAACGACAAATATGACCGACAATATAGTGATATAGCCACGAGTATGCTGATACCGCAGCAGAGTACTGAATATTCAAAATTAATGTATTCCCCTATAATTTCTGTTCCGTAAATTTGGCACTGAAATCTAGTGATTGCCAACCCCCATCACTTGCAGCAACCAATTTAATTCCTCGTGCATACGTGAAACTACAGACAGAAAATTTTAGTCCATCTTAAACTTGAACAATTGCTATACTGTCCGTGGAATGAGTAAACTGAGCAGAAATTTTAAAGATAACGTCGTCAAATTCATTTTATTTCCTTCAATGCATTTTAGAACACCTTAAAGAAGCCAGCCCATCTTCAGAATTGGAGCTGGTAGCTTTATAAGTGACCCAACGTTCACAGATGTTACTACAGAATCTGTCTTCTAAACAGGACATTTGTTCTCCCATCCTTGAAGAAAGATATACGATCCTGGTTCGTGTTGTACTACGTGTAAGTGCAATCTTGTGCTCTACTCGTACGTATCAGGTGTCATTTTAAAGTACAAAAAGAAGCTTAAGAATCAGTATCTTATCTAAGCATAGATATTGAAAATTCATTACGAGATATAATAAAGAGTGAAAGAAACGTTGAGTTTACTGTCTGATTCTGGAATTTTAGCTCGTAAACGTAGAAAACCAACAAGTGAAACCTTCCATAAAATAATATTTTTATATAGTATATTCCTGTACCCTCAGAGGTTGATGATAGCTGCTCTTATCCATAAACTGTGATCCTCGAGGGAATGCAGTTTCAGGCTGTCAAAGGAACGCATCGACGAAACGAGCAGCACTCCAGGATAAAAAAAAAACAGTATAAAAGGTCCGAACGATAGTGCATTCTACAAAGATCTATGGCGGGCGATTTATTCTTCCGTTTCGAGATCGTAACGTTTTTGTGTCCCAAGTTGATGGGTCATAGTACATCGAGGGATTGGAGTCAATGGTCGAGAACGTAAAACGATATAGCTGTATATTCCTCTACAAGTCAATACAGATAAGAAGCATAGTTAGGAAAATAAGGGGGATGGAAAGCCTAGTCAAACATGAACGTTGATCCTCGATATTGAACATCCAACATGCATACGTAAACTTTCCTCCTGTGGAGCAGACTTCAAGGGAATCTCTTCTCTCAGGAAAAGATAAGCCACTTGACAAGGTTTAACATCCACTATCGGGAAGAAGAAGAGTTCGAAGAGCGTAAAATTATTATTTTCACGGTTGGAAAATAAATTTCTCCCATATATCGAGAGAATTTAATCACAATACACGCGTATATAAAAATACGAGTTTAAAGGCTCCTGTCCGTAAAGTGTTTCTTATAATTCGATACGTCGAATCAGCGCGAAAATAATTCGTATCGAACAGCTAAACCTGCCCATTAAATGACCACGCGCGAAAATGTGCGTAACTTCGATAAAATTCACTCCGAAAACGCTCGGATCGTTTTCATTCCAATTTTACGCTCGATGATTTCGATCGACAAATAAAACCAAAGCTGCGAAACACCGATGGAAGGCTCGTATGAAATAAAATAAATGGACGGAACGAACGATAAAATTAATACAACGATCCGTGGATCGTATCGATTTTATACCAGGCGACAAGGCACCAACCTCCCGTGAGTGTTCTTGAGCGAATTCTGCCCGTCGAAAGTGATTTAACCGAGAGGATAAAATTCCTCGCGCCAAAAGCATCGGCAAACATCGCGACGATAGGACGAGATTTCACGGAAGTGGGTCGCCCGATTGTTCTAATTCCCCAAAACTTAATACGCTTACGAAATCGCCGTTCCCGCGATTTAATCGTCGCGAGCAGTTTCTGAATAACCTTTCTCGCGTTGGTCGCGGATAAAACTCGAACGCGTTC